TTTTTTTTTTTTTTTTCTTTGATTTTTTTTTTTTTTTTTTTTTATTTTTTTTCTTTTTTTTTTCTTTTTTTTGCTTTTAGTTTTTTTTTTTTTTTTTTTTTTTTATTTATTTTATATCTTTTTTTTTTATTTATATTTCTTACCCTCTGCATATTAAGTCAAATAACAGAGTTAATACTCTAAAAGTTTCTATATTACAATATTTATTTGAAACTTAATAATAAAAATATTTATTGATTTATTATTTCAAGTATTTAAATAGACTATTCAAATTTATAAATATATAATTATATTATTTTTCATTTAGGCATAGGGTTATTAAAGTTGCTAACTGTTAGTAAAATTCATTTTTTTATAGTTGTTATCAGTGTTCTTACTAGTAATGTTAAAGAAAATATACTTTTTAGAAACAATATACACTCTAAAGAGGAAAAGCAATTAACAGATGCTCTTCAAGAACTACATTTTTACTTTTGGTTTGAGAAAACAATGATAAATACTCTTCAAAAACAATATCTTATTTTGGCTACAACAGTCTTGAAATAGAATGTATAGAAGTATTAATGAATAAGTTTAAAAGAACAATATACTAACTAACTTTTAGAAATAAAAAACAATAGCAGATACATTTTTAATAGCAATTGTATTGATTTTTAACTTTTAATTAAAATAATTATAACCAGAAGGTGAAAAATACACTTTGCAAAAAAACATATTTAATTCTAGAAATATAATTATCTAATTCTTTCTCTCTTCTGTTTCAAGATCATTAGTCTAAAAATTCAAATCTTTCAGAATATTGCTTTTGCAAAGTGTATCTACTTTAAGACTAAAGAGTGTATATGCTAATACTTTTCCTTCTTCTAGTTTATATTTATTATATTAAAGATCCAATCTTTCTAGGTATTTTTGTAAAGTGCATCTGCTAATATTTTTATTATTCCAATTTAGGATTATTATTTTAAAAATTTTATTTTTAAAATATTGTTTTGTAAAATATATCTATTGGTGTTTTTTCTTTCTACTAATTCAAGTTTATTGAAGATTTGAACCCTTTACACCACAAAATCATTTATTTTTTCAATCCAAGATTATTACTTTAAGATTTGAATCTTTTTCACTTTTTAAGCCAAGTTCATTCAAAGAAGTTAGTGGGCATTTTTGTAAAGTGTGTTTGCTAATGCTTTTTCATCATTTAACTATCTCTGTAATCTCAAGTTATTAGTAAGGTGTTTTTGCAAAATATATCTTATAGGAAGACTTTTATATAATTGGCTGTTTAAATTAATTTAATTTTATATTATTTATACTGTTTAAAGTACTTTTTAAAAAAAATAAAACTACAAAGAATAAACAAAAAAGAAATATATAGAAAGTTTTATTAATATTGTAGGACTTCACTATTAAAAATAATCAAAATGATTTTTAGTTTTAGAGAAGTTAGCATAATAGCAACTTCTTAGAGATAGATAGAATTAGATTATTACTATGCTAACTTCTCTAAAACCAGAAATTATTTTGATTATTTTTAATAATAGAGTTCTACAACTTTAATACAACTTTTTATATACTTTTTTTTTGTTTATTTTTTG